GGGGTTCGTTTCCCCGATCGGACGTGAAAAGGTTGGGGTCACCTGCCCGACCACATGGGTTTTCTCCGGGTACTCCGGTTTCCTCCCACACTAAGACCCCCACGCGCTAACATCCGCGCCAACAAGAGTGATTAATATAAGTTGAAATAACTTGTTTCTTAATTGTTGTTAAATAATTAAAGTTTATATAGAAATATGAATAACTGTCTGTTTACGTTGATCTTGGTGTCCGATAATATGCCCCGTGTCCATTTGATGATTCTATCACATGTTCATCTGATCAGCTTCACTTATGGTCTGATGCTCATTTGACAAATTAATTTAATCAGATTCAGAATCATAAATAACGCGAATGCGTTTTCTTGTATTGTTCAAGTATTACCATTAAACACCACATCACCATTAATAGTTTCTGTTAAAACGACATTCTCCGCTTCGTCGTGTTCCTTCGCCATGTTTTGTTTGTCAATAAGATCGTCCAACTCCATTATCCTATTTGCCAACGAGTTCAAAATCATCTCACCTTGAGCCGAACGCGACATTTTTTCATAGAATCTCGTCTGCTGCGCACGCATATAAAGGGCACGATAACTCCAGACGTGTTCCGGACTCAATAGTCACGAGGTGTTCCGAAAATCCTGATATGCATTTTCCGACCGGCCGGTCTGATACGTGATAGGCATTTTCCGACCGACCGGTCTGATATGGGTCACGTGATTTTAGTCGTATCATATAGGGCGGGAATTGCGTATTTAGTAGTAAGTATGTGATCAATTTTCATATCTTTAATTTGGAAATTAAATTAGGGTTTGATGCCTGCCTTTGAAGTAAAGAGGGTTGATATATAGGGTCCGTGTTTGTTCGTCCATCCATTTGTTTCCATCTGGCGGACAACTTATCTATCCCAACACTGAATCAGAGACGTATAATACGTCTCTGACTGAATGGAGTGTGTTCGAGTGAGATAAAATTGTTAGAGTCGGGGGTAAAAACTAGAGTCGGTCGGGGTACCTGAAACATACATAGTTTTTGGCCTAAGCATGATGTTCATAAGTAAAGCCGATTGGATAGTGAGTTCTATTATTTTTGACTTCGTAGTCGAGTTGAAATTATTGGTATTGGTTTGAACATATAAATTGTATAAAAATCCGTCAGATAAAGTATTTTTGGAAATAACAGTCGTTTTAAACAATAATATCCGGAACATCCAGAGTGATTAATATAAGTTGGAATAACTTGTTTCATAGTTGTTAAAAGTTTATATAAACATGCGTGTATACAGCAGAGCGGTTTTGTATAAAAGTGGTGAAATCAAGTCTGGGCATATGGTAACACATTAAAAACAATCGCATTTTAAGAACACTTTCTATGGAATAAATCCTATTCATACGTCAACATCATCAAACATCGTGTAAAGACCCGTACTCATGAAACTTCTTAAACATGTGACTTGTCCTATAGTCTAGGGATAAACCATTATTAAAAACAAGAGGTCCAGAGGGCCTATATCGCTCAAACGTTAGCAAAATTGAAGATGAAATAGCCAGATGTTGCTGTACATGTATTTCATGGTTAGTCAGGGGTCATATATACTGTATATGCAATTGGACAAAATCCTGTCATTCCTACAGGAAAAGGAGGATTTTGAAGAGTTTGCTATGTTTCCTATTGATACAAAATTAGTTTCCCTTCACTAGAGGATGCATTAGACCAAATTTGGACATAATCGTGTCATTCATACATAAAAAGAAGGGTTTTAAAGCTATTTTTCTATTTTCCCTATTTGGCCCCACCCCTCTGTCCAAGGGGGTTAAAACCCACAGTTTATACAAAATTGGTTCTCCTTCACCCAAGGATGCTTCGCCCCAAATTTGGACAAAATCCTGTCATTCCTACTAAAGAAGAAGTATTTTGAAGAATTTGCTATGTTTCCCCTATTGGGCCCATACCCTCTGCCCCAGGGGGTCAGACCCAACGTTTATACAAAATATAGTCCCTTTCACCAAAGGATGCTTTAGACAAAATATGGAAAAAATCCTGTCATTCCTACGGAAGAAGTAGAATTTTAAAGAATATTCTAAATTACCTCTTTTGGGCCCCACCTCTCATGCCCCAGGGGGGTCACACTCACCATTTATACAAAGTTGATTTCCCTTCCCAATAGGATGCTACTGTTCAAAAGGGTGCTTCATACCAAATTTTGACAAATTCCTGTCATTCCTACAGAAGAAGAAGGATTTTGAAGAATTTGCTCTTTTTCCCTATATCGGGCCCCGCCCCTCTTCCCCCATGGGGGCCACTCTCACTGTATATTTGGGCAAAAGGGACTCGGTTTTGTATATACAAAACCGAGTCCCTTTTACCCAAAGATACTCCAGACCAAATTGGAATGAAATCCCTTCATCCCTATGGTAGAAGAAGGATTTTAAAGGGTTTACCTCTATTTCCCCTATTTGGCCCCGCCCCTCTGCCGCCAAGAGGGCCACACCCAGCGTTTATACAAAATTGAGTCCATTTTGCACAAGGATGCTCCAGACTAAATTGGAATAAAATCCCTTAATCCCTACGGTAGAAGAAGGATTTTACAGGTTTTACCTATATTTCCCCTATTTGGCCCTGCCCCATCTGCCCCCAGGGGGGCCACACCCACCATTTATACAAAATTGTGTCCCCTTGGCCTAAGGATGCTCCAGACCGAATTTAGTCAAAATCTACTAGGCCGTTCATAAGGACTAGTAGCGGTAAAGGAAAAGTTGACGGACGGACGGACGACAGAGGACGCGGTATGGCGGCTGGCATTAATCTCACCATGGTAGTTGGGGATGCAGATATGAACATTTTATACAACAACCCATGGGAGGGTGCCCCTCGGATTTTTGTAAAATATCTGTGAAGTCAATAGTGTTCCAATACTCATCAAAGACGCCCACTTCGGCAATCATGGCATCTGTTTGAATTGTAATACCATGCAGTTCGACCATAGAGGGTTTACGTGCTTATTTTCGTATTCCTATAAAACAACGATTAACAAGTATCATAATGTGTCGTGTTAAAATGTCTCGCATTGCTTGAACTTAATTACAAGCCTTAAAATCACTATTTTCTAAATCATTTATTAACCGTACAATACAAACTTTAGTAACAAATCGATCGTCTTAACCGAAAGACTGAATTAGTCGCGGACCCGGGATTTTTTGTATGGGTGGGAGTGGGTGAGGGGGCACGGGTAGTTCAGGTACTGATTCCCGGTTGGGAGGAAAACAACACCACCATCCCTCGAAACGATAGAAATACAGGTCGTTTTCTTCGTCGTGACCTCTCTTCCGGATCCGCCAGTGTTATCTGACACACCTTGAACAATATACTTTTTCGTTTGGTTTTTGCTTTTTTTATTGTGCAGCTCATATATAATATATGATATTGGCCAAATGTATTCGCTGGCTCTTGCTTGACAAGCTCAGGATATATCAGCAATCGCTATTCAATGTAAACATGAAAAAAATATAATCTAGAAATAATTACGTACATCTCCGACATGGTGCGAACATCATAACTAAATAGCGTGAATATCCAAATATATATCTTGACACATGTACGCACATCATTGACATTTCATTCCGGGTGAAATATCGTGACATCACTGCAATTTTTGTTATAGCGAGAAATCAGATGTACAAACCATATGGGTCTGTCGCCATATTGGGGAGTACGTATCTTATTGTATGAACATCGTCTTTATTACAGTAATTAGTAGTTTTCTTTTTTCTTTTTTAAATACTCTTTCCTGGCGGAAATATAATCTAATATATTCTAATACCATTAAACCCCGAACAAAACAAACCCATGTGAAATCTATCCACAAAATAATTCTGATCATTTAAAGGCTATTCTACACTTTATACATTTAACGGAAAACGTCATGACGGGTGCCGCATGTTGTGCGAGAGGAAACGCTCATCCTTACGGAGCACATGGTCTAAATTCGCCTCTGGGTTTTACAACGGTTGAATGATATGTCCTTTTTTGTTGTTTTGATGTCTGTCCGGTGTTTTTTTGGGTCTTTTCGTGACGTCTTTTAGTTCAAATCATGTTCTTGTGTATCGAGTGCGTAGTATTTTGTTCTCTACGATGAACATGCATGCAACAAAGACTTGTGTTTATGTGTTCTGGGTGTCTCCCTCACGGTAATCTCCTCAATATCGATCCAGCATTGGTAACAGTAGTATGTTGTTGTCCTTGATGATTACAACTGGTAATCAGATACAATGATAACATTTTCCACGACTCTTACCGATCTATGCAAGACCGATGAACCTAATTTTGTGTCGTTATATCTCTGAACAAACCATTACAGATAAGAAAATGATCGGAAGCTGTAATTTTTTTGTTGTGGGGTCGGTTCCTTGCATGGGTCAATAGTTAGCCCATATCAATGTAGAATGACAAGTGGATACGCTATGTTATCGCTCAACTAAAACACAGAAAAAATACGACTTGCATTCCCATCATAAGGTACTTAAAATTACAAACACTGCTACTGTCGTGTGACCGTACTGCTTAATTATTGGGTTCGGTAGCCTGTGATCTCTAAAGCACGGTTATAATCAAAGCAATGTAGCAAAATGTAATAAAATCTTGGAAGTATCTGGCCTAGTCGTATCATCTCACTCGGCTGTGGTGTCGGCGGAGCAGACAAGCGCTTCACAACCAGTCCACAGTATCGATCCCACACAGACGAAAAAATCAATTGAAGAATTGTCCTGTTCTCATACACCGGAGTTATGTTGTCATGCATGAGATTCAGAAGCTGTAGTCATGTTCTCATCAGAGATAATGTAGACGGTAAGTAACTTATTAATTTTCGTGCGCTCTTAAATGAAATTTAGTATTGCATATTTTTTGTTTTTATAAATCACACACGTAGCTATATGCGAACGCACCTGCATTTCCTTACAGCCGTTCGACCAATCAAACACCAGTATTGATTTCAATATTCAAAATGGCGCTTCAGTAACTTTGCATGTGCCTGGGCATTTAAAGGTTAATGAAAACGCACAGAAGACGCCTAGGAAATATTGAAAGTGTTTAATATCAGATTGATGTAGATGGGGTTGCATATATTTTGTAAATAATGGTAAGACCATGAAACATGTAGCTTCCACATCGTCGTGTCCGAGGAGAGTTATATTCAGCAGCAGCAACTGACAGCGGCTGTAGCAGCAGAGGAAAGCTGGTAGCATACTGTATAAGCAGACGTTAAATTAGAATGCGATGTTACCGTGATTGATCGGCAGGACGGCACAGCTCCTACAGTAGTGTTACACTATGGTTATGTTCGTACTGCTCCAACACTCGAGACTATACCCATCTATTTTGTTTGGAATTTAAACTCCAATGCAGATGGCAACAGTGCTACCAGTTTACCACTGACAATATGTAGTCTGTCTGGCGTTCTGTAGCGGGGAATTTTGTTGTTCTCGGGTTTAATACTATGTGATGGATGTATTCCTCTATACAGGAAACGAGGAAGGAATATGTGTAATGTACAGTCGTGAATATTTTACTAGTTCTCACATATAATCATCACTAGAGAGACGAGGGGAGCGGTAGCAACGCCTCCTGTTTTTTGAGTTTAGTGAGGAGCTCTAGTGTTCCCAAGCTAGGGTTATTTCCTAGCCGGGATGTCGACTGTTTGATTTTTTCCTATAATAGATTGACCTAGGAGAAAGCAGCACTACTGACCTACCCTGTGTTGAAGCAGTGTGGAGGGAAGGGTATTGGCGGATATGTCTTCCCTCTAAAGGTGAATGCTATTATAAATCTTTGGTAGCTTTCCAGAGTGGTTTAGATTATGCATTGGCTGGTATTGAAAGACCAAATTAAGTGTGGAATTGCCAAAATCATTGAATTAAATATAGTAGAAATGCACCAAAATTATCAGCATAGACATATATATTGGTTAGGAATCTGGGTCACCAAGTCAATAACAGTTGTTTTTTCACTTCCTTATAGCACACACTTTAAACCATTTAAAATGTTAGCTGCATGTAATTTGAGCTTTGATGTAATTATGTGTGTTGCTTTTAGCAGGGAGCATTTCTATAGATGTATATCTGATCATCTAGAGCTGCCCTTGGTTTGTTTACATGCATGCTTGCCCAAACATTTCATGCATGTGTATATATATTCTGTAGCTGTGTGTATAGAAGTACTATACATTATGTACCTAATGAACCACTCATTCAAGGCACTCTTGAGATACTTATTTTCATCATTACTAGGACTACTATTATTTTTATACTATTTCCTCAATATTTGTTAAGGGAGTATTACATGACTGACTCACATATTATCTTTTTATTTCATTTATTTATAAATGATAATGATTATTTTTTATGTATTTAAAAAAAAAAAATAGTCTATTTTTATAAAAAGGAGATAAATGTAAATAACATATGCTTTAAAATTTGATTAATTTAATGTGAAAGGGAAATTGGGTTGAATGATTTATTGTAATGGCTTCTATTTTTAACTATTTAACTCATTCACCCCTGAAATGTTATAATGGGCTACTCAAACCTTTGCATTGGAAGATTTCAAATGTGTCTTCAGGGGTGAATGAGTTAATCAATCCAAATGAAGTTTTTCAATGATGCAAACAAATAAGTAAAGTTTTTCAAACCTTTAGTGCTTGAGTGTATTACCTAATTCAAAACCAACAATTAAAATTTTACAAATATTTCAATGTCGTGTGTACTTTTACAAAAGTGGCGGGATAATGTTCACATTTTTTGCATCGGGTAAATTAACACGAAATTATCCACACAAGTATTTTTTCATAGATTATAGATAAAATAATATACAGATTTCAGAACTACTGCCACCTCAAACATTTCTACAACATTATCAGTTTAAAGAGTCGCAATGCTACCATTTCCAGAAGCAAGAAATTCCACTTTTACAGTGTACATATGTGACAGTGATTCTACAGTAAAGAAATTCACCCATTATATTGCTTTTGTTACTTATTTTCAAAGTTAAAATTAATGAGTTTTATTGACAAACATAATTACCTGCCAAATGTTTGTCTGACATGTGTTTGGATGCGACAGGTTTTACTGTAATAGGAGATAAAAGAGTAGTGCTAGCTCTGATAGTATTGTTGGAAAAAGGGAATCTGTATTAAAAATAGAAGTGATGTGTCACTTTAGTATTGTGTGCATGTCCAATAATCAGCTTTTAGTCCCAAGTATACATAATTGATAGGAGTATATGATATGGTCTGTTAAGTATGTGTCACTGGGGTGTCATTAGAGGGGCTATACAGAGGTACTACAATGTGATTAATAGTAATAGACCAAGAACATTTTTCTTTACATTTCATATACGATTGTTAAATAGACAGCCATTGTTTCAATCTATATTGAAACAGCACAGTTATACAATATGTGAAAGTGATACATTGTAAGAGATAGTATCGGAATTAATATTTTGTATGACATTGCTATTATAACATGCATATAAGTGTTACATTGTACAACATTGTTTTACTATCACATAGATATAAACATAAACAGTGTTTACATACCTTTTACATTGTATAATATGTGGTAATTAACCGCTGCTGTAGTTTTAGAAGATCTGTTACTCAGTCCAACATATATCTATTATATGTTAGACTGAGTAACAGATATTCTGTATTAATTAAATAACACCGGTACCATGCTACATGGTGTATACATTTATTAAACAAAAAATATTTCATATGGAAGTGAGAAGAATTCGCAAGTTATTTATTCAGTTGGTTTTCACAACTACTGTATGACAGTATTAATTATGTACACCCAATCATCCTAAGACATTTTTGTTATATAGCACCTCACTGATTGTTCAATCAATCACCCCTTATACCATCTCTGCCATTTATAGACAAGAATAAACATTTCAAAATTGAATGCACAGGACTGTTTTATAAATTGAAGACACACCTGAAAATGGTTGCCATGTAGTGATGTGATTAGCAACGGAGCTGCAAATTGTACCTACTTATGATACTATTAAATGCAAATTGCAAGTCATTTTCCAACTGAAGTTCTGAAAGATGAAAGTAATCAATTTGTGCTTGTGAATGATGGAGAGTGGTACAGGTGAGTTTGTCCCTAGCATGTTGAAACAAATACAACTGTAACATGGTAACTGACTCAGTTCTATTGACGTACGATACAATCAAGTGCTGTAACAATGACGGTATTTAAGTCATAAAATTAAAAAATAGAAACAAAATGTAACACAAACTTGACATTATGTGAGACACGCACGTCAATCTCTTGACTAAATAAAATCTAAAGATTGAATGCAGGTGATGCTTGCTCATTTACACATGAAGAATGATTTTACCTTACGGTGTTGCATAAAAATAATGTACATAGTTTGTTGATGAAGAGAGAGCTTTGCTCTAGTCAGTCCTTGCCATGTCAATGGAATAGTTCAGGTGGTAATGTATATCTTTTCCTTTTCTCAAGTGATTTTATTTGTAATACTGTACTGCTTCACAAATCTTGTTCATAAGTGCTTAAATTACTATATCTCCCGTGTCTCTGACAGTTTGTTTCTATTTAGGTTTCTATTTACATTAAAAGGAAATCCTAAGCAACTGCAAAGCTTAATTGCTTGTGTAGTGGAAAATGCTCAATTTTGTAAGCCATGGTTATATCTTTGTTGAAGAGCAGGAGCACTTGAAAATTTTCCTCAAAGAAATTTTAATTCGGGAAATAATATTTATCTTACATGAATTACCAGGTACAGGACTTAAAAAATAATTTTCAAAACCACTAGATACTTGGGCTAGCAGTTTCAATTTTACAAGTCCTTTCGCATATTCCACAAAACCCAATTTTATTCAACATTTTAAGTAATGTCAAATTTTGAATAGTCCATTGGGCTAGCAGGGTTTTTAGCTCACCTGGCACGAAGTGCCAAGTGAGCTTATGCNCATTAGGCTAGTGGGTTAACCTTTTTGTTTAGCCCTATAGTAAGTCTGTATAATTAGTGCTAAAGATTGTCACTTGTGCAGAACAAGCTATTTCCTGTAGTTATGCAGGGATCATACCATATTTATTTGAATAAGCTTGGGATAGTTATACAATTGATATATGAAGTAATAAAGCTCACCTGGTCCAAAGAGCTTATGCCATCGTACGTGTGTCTTGTCCATCTGTGGTCAGTTGTCCTGCATCAACTTTTCATTTCAAACACAAGACCAGAACAGCTGAAGGGATTTGATTAAATTTTGTCATTAACTCATTCAGCACTGAAATTTTCATAATGAACTATTCCAACCTTTGAATTGGAAGAGTTCAAATGTGTCTTCAGGGTAGAATAAGTTAACATTGTTGGGCGAAGGGGGCTCAACGTCATATAAACAGGGGATATTGCTACTCTTGGGATGAGGGCTGGGACTCAAAAGGGGAGCTAACTGTCATTAAATCCTACACCTACAGTACATGAAAAGTATTTAACCTTGATCTGAAGCATCCTTAGCCTAGGGAGTTTTTACATTGTATAAAGGGTGATTACCCCTGGGGCAGAGGGGCATCATCTGATATGGCATATATAGATAAATCTTTAAATAAAACTTCTCCTTCCATACGTATGGGTGAAGGATTTTAAAGTAATCTGGTCAGTGGCATCCTTTGTCGAATGCAAGTCAATGATGTTATTATAACAAGAGATGAGACCAAATCGAGAAAATAGAGGTATATCATTAAAATCATATGCCTTCAGTGTAGGTAAAGGGATTTTAACCTATCGGGTAGATTAGTTTGGAGAACTTCGGCCTAGGGGACAAAATACTGCTCAACTCATTCACCCCTGAAATTTCATAATGAACTATTCCAACCTTTGAATTGGAAGAGTCCAACTGTGTCTTCATGGGTTAATGAGTAAAATGTGGTACTCGGCCTATAAGGGGAAGCATAGTTAAATCAATTATGTCTTACCCTTTCAGTATATGTAAAGTGAAAATTTGGTCTGGAGCATCCTTCCGCCAAGGAGGCTCAACATTGTGATAATTTAGTGTCCTCCATCGATAAAGGGGTGGAGCAAAACATCGGATATAAGGGTAACATAAGACTATTCTTTTCTTATGAATTAAGGAATTTTAATCTTAGCTAGTCGGGAGCGTTTTTAAGTAGAAGAAATTCAATGTTGTGTAAATAAAGGGTGTGTCCTTCCCTCCCCCCCCCCCCCCCATTCCCAAACCCCTTGTAGATTTAGGGGCTCTACTACTTTAATTAGTAGAGGTAAAGGACTTTGATTCTGAATCGTCCTAGAAGGTTAACTTCCTCTTGTATAAACAGTGTTTGTGTCCTGCATGATCATCCCTAGGGATGGGGTACTATAGGGAAATGAAAGCTAGTTTGTTATGCCTACTACAAAATGAGTAAACATGTTATAACTTCATTTGATTTATGTGATACCTGCATTTATATAAAATTGTTAGCTTATATACCTTTACATTAATCTTGATAAAACTTGAAGACACTGTCACTGTATACCTGTATCACAAATGTAAGGTGTGTAAAGTGCAATGAAATTAGGTCACAGTGATCTTCCTGTTTAGGTTAAAGGTCATGATCAGCATAGTCATTTATTTTTGTTGATTTTTTTCTGGGCTATAAATTTAAAACTGTTATACCTGTCTGACCACCCAAAGTGTGTTTGGTATACTGTATTAACAGGTAGGTCACTTTAACTCTCAGCTTAAAGTTTTAAAGGTAAAAAATGTATATGGCTTTTATAAGTGTTAACATATTTTAATTCACAAAGACATAGCGGTAGTTGATTTTTTTTCTGCATGATTCACTTTTTTTTTGACATGTTTGATTTTCTGACATGATTGATCTTGTTTTCTCTCATGATTGATAGAATGATAGTGTCTAAAGTATACATTGATTACACACTATTTTGTTCTATATTCTAGGAATGGCGCTCACCCCTAAATACAAGCCGAGGACGGAGAGCCTGCCCAATACATTGTCCAGTGCAATGTTTGGGAATGGGCAGGCTAACCCCGAGGACAACCCAAACTACCTGGTTTATAAGAAGGTAGGTGAAGTCACTTCCCACTTAATAAATACTGTGTATTTGTTCAATTTTGATTTCAGCGTGAACAGGAAAGTTATACTGAGCAGGAATCGTTAAAACCAAGTTTAGAGTTCAGTTTTCGAATGTTAAAGTTCAGCTCTTGGATAAAAATGAGCATATTTTATCCATAAGTGTTATTCATGACATTATTTTCTTATAATTTCATAACATATGTATTACATATAGCTAAGTGTGACAAATCTGTTTTCCATTGATAGTAATGCAATCCATGATGTCTTTGTGCAGTTAATAATAATAATAGTAACTGAAGGTTCTTATATACCGCTTTATTACAATCTAGTTCGTAGGTCATCTCAAAGCGGTTCACAAATTATGATCCGTGGTTATAGGGCCTTTGCAACCAGCCTATATCGTTCTCAACTCCCTGGGGAGCATACAGTCGGTGCTGCCATTTCAGCGCTCACAACTAGCATTCAACAATTCTAGCACTGCCCAACCACGTACTCATTTACAGCCGAGTAGACTGGAACAAGCTGAGTAAAGTATCTTGCTGAAAGATACAACACAGTGCTGTGCCGTGACTTGAACCCGCAACCCTTCGGTGTGAAATAGTTGTTAATTTATGCTGAGCCGTATCAGAAGCATAAACGTTTAAGAGTAAGGATTGGCAGAGCCAGAGGAAGCAATATGAAATAGGGTCTTTACAGGAGTACGTATATACCTGCCTGAGGATTCTTCTGAATGATATATTTGCATATTTGATCTTTAAAATTTATCTTAGGCCTACACATGTGTAAATGGCCTAGCTAGAAAAGTATAGCTGAACATTTTTGCCATGAATCTTTGCGTTGTTTAGGAAGACTTACAGGAATAGCATTGATGGCCATGTTCTCATGGAAAATCATGGCATCATCGTAACTTTTTTCATGATCCTGATATTTATGTTGTTACAGTTTTTTGTGATACATGTCAGTGCTTTTCATTGTGGCACTCTGCCATTTTTTCATGAAACCCAATTCTTTATCCGAGATTGATTCTGCTCCGGAGTTGGTTTGTCAGTGATAGCGGTGAATTTGAGTTGTGATGGTTTGATATCTGTAATGCTACGGAGTCGGGTGACTCAGTCGTGGAAATGTAGAATACTCAGAAAAAAGGAAATGCGAAAACTTAAATTGGATGAAATTTCCAATAGTATTAAGCTTTCAGGAATACATTTTCATGAAAAATATTATTAAAATCTGCACAGAATCGGCACACATGTGCTACTGAATACTTTTGCGATAATTGTGTCTCAAGTTGTGTGATAATTATCACATTCAATTTGACAGAGTTTCTCGTATTGCAGCTGACAGAACATCGTTTATTTTGGATTTTTGGCCTCATTAGTGATGATGTTGATTTTTATGAGATAGTGAAATTACAATTTTGTTACTTTGAATTTAAGTGATGCCACGAAACTAGAACATAATGTATACAAGGTTATTATAGAGAAACAAGGAATCTAAAATAAATTTTACCATTGGGTTCAATAACCGGATAACCAAACAATCTCTTAAAACCCCTGGAATTCAACAATTTGCAATGCATCCCCCCTTCCCCACACACTTAAGGTTCAATGAACATTGTTTGAAATCAAAACTTACACAGTAGTATGGCTCAATTACACTAATTTACAGGGGCACAGCCCAGATCTACATTCCCCTCAACAACAAAAAAATGTATAGAGAACTTTGATGCTCAGAAAAAAGACTTTTTAAATGAGAAAATAATAAAAACATAGCCTGTAAATATCCTGGTACCATATGTTAAAAAACATGTAAAGATCTATATCAAAACCTTATGATGGGTTTTACTCAATATGTTTTTTGTTGATACAGTATCAACAAGAAATTTTTTGATAGTTAATAGTCTGAACAAATGTTATTAATTAACAAAACCTGTAGCATTAGTTCCTAAACTTATGTTGTGGGGTGCATGAACATATGGTGTGATTACGTCTGTATGACGCTGGTAGTTATCTGCCCTTCAGTACAATTAGGGGGAGGAGGATTTACAGAAACAAGCTTGACCTTCTTATCTGGCATGGAGGTCATGCAGTAGATCTTAGTTGGCCTATCGTTAATAGTTCCAGTTAATATTTTACTACTGACATAAGTGATGAAACCTGTCTTGTTGAATAGATTACCTAACTTTTCAGTGTTCACAAACAACATTACACTGACTTAACCTTTGGGTGACTAACAGGGAGACTGACCTAGAGTTGGTCTTCTTTGGGTGACGGGCAGAGATACAGGGTTGAATACTTTTGGGTGACTGACAGAGATACAGGGTTGAATACTTTTGGGTGACTGACAGAGATACAGGGTTGAATACTTTTGGGTGACTGACAGAGATACAGGGTTGAATACTTTTGGGTGACTGACAGAGATACAGGGTTGAATACTTTTGGGTGACTGACAGAGATACAGGGTTGAATACTTTTGGGTGACTGACAGAGATACAGGGTTGAATACTTTTGGGTGACTGACAGAGATACAGGGTTGAATACTTTTGGGTGACTGACAGAGATACAGGGTTGACCACTTTTGAGTGACTGACAGAGATACAGGGTTGACCACTATTGGGTGACTGACAAAGATACAGGATTGGACACTTTTGGGTGACTGACAGAGATATAGGGTTGAACACTTTTGGGTGACTGACCAGGAGACAAAATTGATGGTTAACTGATTTGACAGGGTCACTCAACATTGGGTGACCGACAAAGGAGTGGCAAACAAGGGGTGAGGGATGAACACCTTTGACTGCCTAACTGGGGTGAGGGATGAACACCTTTGACTGCCTAACTGGGGTGAGGGAGGAACACCTTTGACTGCCCAACTGGGGTAGAGGGATAAACACCTTTGACTGCCTAACTTGGGTAGAGGGATGAACACTTTTGACTGCCCAACTGGGGTAGAGGGATAAACACCTTTGACTGCCTAACTGGGAACGGGGGCAGAGGGATGAACACCTTTGACTGCCCAACTGGGGTAGAGGGATGATCACCTTTGACTGCCTAACTGGGAACGGGGGCAGAGGGATGAACACCTTTGACTCCCTATCTGCTGTAGAGGGATGAACATTTTTGACTGCCTAACTGGGGTGAGGGAGGAACACCTTTGACTGCCCAACTGGGGTAGAGGGATGAAAACCTTTGACTGCCTAACTTGGAACTGGGGTAGAGGGATAAACACCTTTGACTGCCTTACTGGGGTAGAGGGATGACCACCTTTGACTGCCTAACTAGGGTAGAGGGATGAACAGCTTTGACTGCCTAACTGGGAACTGGGGTAGAGGGAAGAACACCTTTGACTGCCTTACTGGGGTAGAGGGATGACCACCTTTGACTGCCTAACTTGGAACTGGGGTAGAGGGGTGAACACCTTTGACTGCCTAACTGGGGTAGAGGGATGAACACCTTTGACTTCCTAACTGGGTAGAGGGTTAAACACTTTTGGATGGCTAAAAGAGAGACAATATATAAATATGATATTCATGAGCAGGTGACAGTGAATATTGTCAACCCGAGAAAACCATTGTCACCCGAAGCGAAGCCGAGGGTGACGATGGGTTTTTGAGGGTTGACAATATTCACTGTCATCTGCTCATGAATGTCATATCTATTTTGTTACACCAAAAGTCTTTGTAGCTCAGAAACGGCAGCAAACCTCGATAATGACATCTTGTTTGTTGATAGTCTGCTGTTTACAATCGCTATCGCACCGGCGCTTGATAAAATTGGCTGTTGCCGTCAAACGTTCTTGTGACCATCAGGGTTGGGAAACTAAGCAGTGAAAGCACATTTTTCGCGCATGTGATATTTTTCACTGTCTCATTGCAATATCACTCGCGCCCCTTAAAACCAATGTATTTTCGGAGGGTGACAGAGATTTTTGTTTAATTTTCTCCCAACCAATCAAATAGCTAGAAATTCACTTGAGGTGTAACAAATGTAATTGACCACCTTTGGAGGATACTATATTACTACAGTTCCTTCTGAATTCTGCCGTTTTTGTGTACATTTTGTATTTATTTTCTAACCTGAACAGTGTCAGAATTATGGGTCACTTCCATATCATACACCACTTACTTATTCTATTGACTCGGTAGATACATTTTCTATACATCTCTGGCTTTACTAGGGTTTGCCAAGTAAAATCAATGAGACTTTTTAATGCACCAATAATCATTGTAAAAATATTGGTACACATTTCAGCATGAGAGATTTTGGAAGAACTGCTCAGCATGATGTGTTTTGGAAGTACTGCTTGATAGAAGTGGTGATGTTTGACTATTTTCTGAAGTTGTTTGTACAAACAATTACACAATGGTCATCGGGGTGTCTGACTAATGGTGTTGTAGATCTTTGTAATTAAGTACAAATAATAACTGGGTACATGTACCTAGTGTTTGACTTGAGATATTGCCATTCAGTTATTGTGTTGGGTTGTTAGTGAAAACAGCCAAATCCTGGATTACATGTATATATATGTTTTGTAGCTATAGACCTGTTAATACAGGTGTCACGAGAGAAAATGGAAATCAATTTTGGTGTACCCAGCCTCACCCACAGTACAAACACTTCATTCAAACATTTGCCTGTGTATTTCAAATACATTGATGTTTGATAACTCGAAAATATATTTATGGCCTGTGAAGGACACACTGTCCTGTAAACCAGGACACTGCTGAATCTAGTTTCATTTAGCTTGCTTTAAAATGAAATGAAAAAATTGAACTTTTTGATACTTTTGTAGTTGACTTTTGTAGTTGTCAATATATAAATTTTAATTGTAAACTGTATTTATTTTACAACAATTATGAAAAAAGTTATTGCAACTTATATTAATCACTCTTCTTGGATTAGAGTTATCTCCCTTGTCATTGCACAAACCCTTCATTTTTATGCTGTGCATTTCTGGATAGCAACATTGGTCAAGTGTAGGACTGGCGGTGTA